AGCAGTGGTTAGAGACACTGAGCAATATGGCTGGGTGTAGCAAACAGTGACGCTCATGCATCCACTGTTTATTCCTGTAGTGTCATTGTGTGTGATTTCTGTATCCTCCGTTCGAGTTTGCTTACAACACTGCCTGTTTTCTGCTGTTTTCATTCAAATGTGGCACCATAAGACAGCAAGCTAAACCGGCGCTCGAAATCGCATGTGTGATCGTTTCTATAACTGAACTGTCATTGTTTGCGCCGTTTCCTGGGCTCATAATTAGGAGCACGTTGTTGACATGAGCTTATTCAGCAAGGATGGTCTTTCTCATATAAATGAAACAACTGAACCATCATTACTGAATTGTATCCGAATGAATGCTGAAACCGGTACAGATGCAAAATTCAAAAATAATTGTTTTCATTTCGTCAGATCGGATTCACTCACATTTGAATCAGAATAGTGAAAATTCTGAGTCACCTGCTATATTGGTCACTCCTCTCTCTTTAGTTCCCGCACTTGATTATCACGTTTGTGTTGTCTGTTAAAAACGTTTTGAACACTGTGACTGGGTTGTTCGTCCTATTCCCGTCGAATACCAGTACCAAACAGACGGAATAATAAATAGCGAGAGAGGGGAGATCAAGTTGAATCACTCATCCTTCTTGCTACTTAGAAAGTGACAACCTTTGATTTCTCATTACGCAACACGATTGGCTGATGTTGTTCTGAGATCTATCCATAGTTGGCTAATGGGAAACTATTTAAAAAAAGCAACTGGTAAATAAAGGAAGCCACTCCATTCGCACGAATGGTTGACGGTTAATGACGCCTTTTCAAAATAACGGGAAGCTGCGCTCTGTTCTGTAGCGCGAATCGGTTAACCTCATCAAAATAAGCCATATTCCTAGATCATTCGCCCATGGGTTTGTGCATTCTGCATACGTGAGCAGCTATAATGCACGATTAAGTGTGATTCGCGTACCTGTTTTTCCCCACTGTATGTTCCATGTCTTCCGTCCGCCCAGATGGTCAATTGACGATTTCCCAGTGCACTTATCATTCCATCCTATGTGCCTGCAGCCTCAAACTTCTGTGCTATGCCTTGTAGTATGTACCTATGTTTTTCGTGCCTCAAGCGAACATCTAGGTCAGTTGCCTTCGTATTTCTGGCTCTCATAATATTGGCTCTGCGTTATGGAATTCCATAAACGCGCTTGAGTTCTATCTGTTCATTTCGGTCCGGCATCAGGATCCCTCGAGTTCAGTACATTCGATTTCGAGCTATTCCTAAGAAGAATGCAGGACTACTCGACAAGGGAGATATTTACTTTGGTGCTTTTGGTTCGTACAAAAAAGATATTTTTCCTCAAAAGGAATATTAAGATATTTCTCAATTATTTTGAACCAGAAAACAAATAGCTATAGTATTTGTTCCTTAGACTTGTTACTCATCAAGGAATCTTGCAGAGATCAAGGTTCCTCTTTATTGAGATGCACTTTTGTTGAATTTCGAATGACATTTGTCATCAATTAGCATTCTCGGCTTTCCGGTTTTTAACCTTGTAGGATTCCAGTACAAACGTCAGTGATTCTGAACTCTCTGGTACAATGGAAATGACATCGCGCTCTAAAACACGGGACAGAACGAACCGAGAACCATTTGGAAATGCGGCCGCCCCAGCTCCATCTTCGTCCGTAACCGTCAAATCCGAACTCACTGGTCCTTCGGTGACAACCTCTGCCACTTCGAAAGTCGAATCTAACTCCATAGCAAACTCTTCCAACCGATCACAACAGACGGATGTGGTCGATCCCGCTGAGAGAAATCGCCTGCTTCTGGCTAGCTTGGGCGCCATTGGTCTACCCAATCCCCTGTCATCGTGCGCGACTCTTCTGGACCTGCCAGCTAGTATGCGTCTGCTACACCCACTTTTTCAAAATGGATCTGATTTTGCCTACGAATTCGATTCGGGTGAGTCCAGCGTTGTTCTGTTTCGGTACGCACTTCTCTGTCTAGTCTCTTTGTCACTTTGTAATTATGCCATTTCCATAACTTCCTGGAGTTCAGAATTATTTTCAGAATCTAGTTATGACACCAATCGAAATGGAGACAATCGAAAAGTCTGTGGAATATTGGATTCGGTACGAGTCTTTCGCTTGGAATTAGCAAGACATCTACTGTCTCGACAAAAGCGCCGGGTCAACTACTGAGTGAAAATCACTCAAGAAAGCATTTGAACATGCTTAGTTTGGTGATCAGCATCGGGGTGTTCTACTTAGCGCAGTTATAACAGATATACCTTTTATGACCGATTTTGCAGAGTTCAAACTGTTTAAACCGATGTTTACGCGATTGGCGGACGTTTGATGCGCCGGTCCCTCATCTTGAAGATTGGAGTATGAAATGCCTTCATTGGTCAGATGTGTGAAATTATTACGATGTAAGTCGGAAGCCGATGTGTACCTACAAACCGTTGTAAACGAAAAGGGTGACAGCCACACCTTATATTGTTTCATACCCGGGATAGTTACGTAACCTCATGCCTTCTCCTCGAAGAATGCGTTGATCCGCAGTCTATTTCAGTGTGGCTGTTGCGCAACAAAACTACTTGTTGTATATTGGGCTGTGGGTCGGGATTATTTCAACCAAGAGCCCCAAAGGAAGGTGTGATTCCACTACAGATGTCTGATTAATGTTCAAGTTATTCTGTCTACGAATGCTAATTAAGGCTCTTCTCGTGTGGCTTATAGATAGATGAAGTCACAGAAACAACGGTTACTGTTGTGGCAAAACGATCGAATACTTGTGTGCAAATGAATGTGTATCTCTCAGTTGTTTTCTTGTGCAACCAAATAGTTTCAGCGAGAACGAGAGAGAGATGTAAATACTAAACGCAGTTGTTTTCTCTACCGGAATGGACAGTCCCGAAGCATTTTTGTTTCCAAACTCAAATGCTAATTCAATAGGTAATTAGAATTTTCACCCAACATTCAATTTAATCGGATCCGGATACGTGCCATCATCATCATCTTCAAGTGTTGGTGTATCAACAGAACAACCGCGTTGTAAAAAGTGGAGTGAAGGGTTCCGCATGCACAAATGAAATGACAATTAATGTTTCGAATCACATTACTGATAATAAATAGTAGTAACCAAATTGAAACCTGACTTATATCCGCAATCATATGGTCCATTCTCACTCACCTCTATTCTACCCTTCGAAAATGATATTTGCATGGTTGATCTGCTGTCTTTTCCTCCTCCATTTGGATAAAAGTGAGGAATGAAGATCACAATGTTAAAAACCAATTCGAATACAAGGTAGAAAAGTTATATAGATTTCTGTTAATGAATGAACAATGAGTGGTTGCATGAGCGTCACTGTTTGCTACACCCAGCCATATTGCTCAGTGTCTCTAACCACTGCTTAACATGATCTCGAAGTCCCCAGCCAGGGAGCCTAACGGGACCTATGTGACCCAGACTCCTGTTTAGGGTTTTCATACCCTCATGCCAGGTCTTCTTTTGACCACCCTT